GAGGGAGAAAAAGAGGGAGAGGGGTTAGGAGGAGGGAGAAAAGGGGGAAGAGGGAGAGGGAGGAAAGGGGTAGGGGGTAGAGGAGGGGAAGGAGGGAATGGGAAATGGAGGAGGGAGGAAAGAGAGAGGGAGAAAAAGAGGGAGAGGGGTTAGGGGGAGGGAGAAGAGGACGGAGAGGGAGAGAGAGGGGGAAGAGGGGTAGGGGGTAGAGGAGAGGAAGGAGAGAGTGGTAAATAAGGGAGGGAGGAGAGGGCGTAAGAGAGGAAGAGGCTAGGGAGAGGGAGAAAAAGAGAGAGAGGGAGGGAGGGAGAGAGGAGAGAGAGGAGAGAGAGGGAGAGGGAGACGGAGGAAAGGGGTAGGGGGTAGAGGAGGGGAAGAAGAGCAAAAGAGAGAGGGAGAAGGATAGGTAAAAGGAGAGGGGAGAAAAAGAGGGAGAGGGGTTAGGGGGAGGGAGAAGAGGACGGAGAGGGAGAGAGAGAGAGAGGGGGGGGGGGAGGAGGAGGAAAGGAAGAGGGAGAGAGAGGGAGGAGGGAGGGAGAGAGAGAGAGAGAGGAGAGAGAGGAGAGAGAGAGAGGAGAGAGAGAGAGAGAGGAGAGAGAGAGAGAGAGAGATGAGAGAGAGAGAGAGAGAAAGAGAGAGAGAGAGAGGAGAGAGAGAGAGAAGAGAGAGGAGAGAGAGGAGAGAGAGAGAGAGGGGAGTGCTGGGGAGAGAGAGGGAGTGGGAGAGAGAGAGAGAGTGAGAGAGAGAGAGATGAGAGAGAGAGAGAGAGGGAGGGAGGGAGGGAGGGAGGGAGGAGAGAGAGAAGGGAAGAGAGAGAGAGAGAGAGAGAGGAGAGACGAGAGAGAGAGCGAGAGAGAGAGAGAGAGATGAGAAAGAGAGAGAGAGAGAGAGAGAGCGAGAGAGAGAGAGAGAGAGAGGAGGAGAGAGAGAGCGAGGGAGTGGGAGAGAGAGGGAGTTGGAGAGAGAGGGAAGTGAGAGTGAGAGGAGAGAGAGAGAGGGAGGGAGGGAGGGAGGGAGGGCGGGAGGGAGGGAGGGAGGGAGAGCGGGAGGGATAGAGGGAGGGAGAGCGGGAGGGAGGAAAGGAGGGAGGGAGGGAGAGAGGGAGGGAGGGAGGGAGGGAGGGAGGGAGAGAGGGAGAGATGGACGGAGGGAGGGAGGGAGGGAGGGAGGGAGGTAGGTAGCAGAAGTGTAGGAGGTTGTGCGGGAATGAGAGGTAAATGGAGGAAGAGAAAGAAGGCAGGTGGATAGGGAGGGAGGCAGGGATGGACAGGAAGCGGTAGGGTGAGAAGGTGAGAGAGGAAGACGGAGAAGGTATGCGTGGATGGAGGATGGACTGAGGGAGGAAGAGAGGAAGGGAAGAAGGTAGAAGATAAGGAGGGTGGGGCAAGGAGACAAAGGGGTAGACGGAGAGAGGGTGGGCGTGGTAAATGAAGACGGGAAGAAAAAGTGGGAGGGATGAGGAGGGGGAAAAGGGAGAGAAGTAAAGAGTACGAGGGAGGGGCCGAGAAGGTGAAAGGGAGTAAATGTGGAAGAAAGGAAATAAAGGAAGGGAGAGATGGGGGATAGGAATTGGGAAAATGAAAGGGAATGAAGTAAAGAGAGGAGAAAGAGGGCGAGAGGGAGGGCTGCGGGCGGTGGTTATAAAGAGAGGAGACTAGCAACAGAAATGGTCCCGAGGCACTTTGTCAAGTCCACACGTCGGCATCTTAGTTGCAGGAAATGCTTCCCAAATGCCACGCCATTCCAGAATACGAGATCAAAGGCGTAAAGTCCCGCCAGATGATAGTTTCTATGACAGCAGGATATGGTGGCATTTTCATTAACTTTAAGGAATTTCCTTTTTATAGCAAGGATTAGTTATGATGATAGATGATTTTGATGATGATTTCTTCAGAAAATGACAAAGCGATTTGATTTAACATGTTTATGTTATGTTGAAATAAGCAGGTTTCATTATATTTGATATGAACAAGTTACCCAGGCATACTACATTTTCTTTGAATATTGCGATTATTGAGAACACTCGTTTTCTCTTTCTCGGGTAGACTATACAAGTTTAGATTACAGTCAGTAAAAGCGTGACTTGAAATTTGTAAGTTTATTGGTAGTACTGACATCTATTAAAGGCTGCTGGAATTGAAATCATGAAATAAAACCCCTATTACAATATTTTTTTTTTTCATCTGATAAACATCTACAAGGGAATCGAGATCATTGGCACATTTTTTTGTTAATACATCTGACAACATATATTTTGTTGATACAGATTTTTCGTTGAAAAAAAAAAGATGTTTATATATGAAACGAATAGTTTACCAACAAATAGTGGCATCAGTAGATAAAATTATAATAAATTATGAATACCAACAGCTACCGAAACAATGATAGTTAAATACATAAACGGAACAGACTATGAATAAAAGGATGAATAAATGGATGAATCGCTTTGCAAGAAAACGGTTTGCAACATTTCTTTGAAATTTGTTTACTTACATTATAA